TTATTTATACTCGCCCAGTCAGAATTTTACCGACAATCATGAGTTTGTGTCTTCGAGTTATTTATACTCGCCCAGTTAGACTTTTGCCGACAATCATGAGTTTGTGTCTTCGAGTTATTTATACTCGCCCAGTCGTTATAATAATAATAATAACTTTATTGAAAACTGGGATGTTATAGGAGTCACGCGCGCTAGGGGTGTCTGGTCGGGCGAAGTCACGTGCACCGGGGCGGTCTGGTTGGGCAAAGTCGCGCGCATTAGGGGGATCTGGTCGGGCAAAGCTTCGCACGCCAGAAGGGGTTTGGTTGGGCGAAGTGGGTCTGCTCGGAGATGCGCACGGTTGAGGAGATCTGCTCGGAGATGCGCGACGGATGACCACAGAGACACGTGGTAGAGGTTCCCGAACGCGGATGGTTTCTGCCACCACCATCGTGCGCCCAGCCAGCAACGTGCGGCCGGCGTCGAGAACCCTCCGCTCGGACGTCCGGTGGCAACTACAAACATGACCACCAGAGGGAGAACCAGGTGAAGGAAGTTTTATCTATTTTTTTAATTTCCAAAACCTCTGTCCATGTTCCACCATGGATCAACATCAACCAATCAAACCTCTTTATTTCAAATTTTTGAGTGCTAAGCATTGTTCCTTCTCCAAGTAACAGAGCAAAAAATTTAAAAAATTGTCTTGTCACTTAAGATCACTCCAATAGGAGTTTTTTGTAAGCATTGTTACTTATTCTTAAGATACATAATAAGCACCCCGTTAGAGGTGCTCTAAGGAACCCATGCATCCCAAGGTTGTCTCACTCATCTTTTCATGTTTTCTAATTTCAATGGTTGCTTGTCTTTTGACTAAGAAAAATTCTTCATCCTCTGACTGAATTGTCTAAAACATATACCGAATGTTTAAAAAATTAATTTAAATTATAAAATATTAAATTAAATAATTATTTAATAATAAATTTGTTATTAATATTTTAAAATTTTGAACTGTACTTCCGTTCCGAATTCGGAGGATGTAGCAATTCTGTTTGACTAATGATTCAGCCTTCCAACCGTTTTTTCAAAACTTCGTCCGAATAATTAAAATAATAATACTTTTTAATAAATTTATTAAAAATAATTATTTTATAATAAATTGATTAAAAAAAATATTATTATTTTAATTATGCATAAGATGATTCGGAAAAAAATTCAGAACCTGTATCGATACTCTTGCCTTTTACACACCCCCAACACCACCCAATTCCAATGAACACCACCATCGAATTAACTTGTATAATTCATATATTATTGATCTAAATTATTTTTATAATATATTTTTAATTTATTTATATTATATATAAAATATATTTGTAATTTTTTTTGGAGTTTTTTTAAATAAGACATGAATCTTATTAAAATTAATAGGTATGAGATATGTATGAATATTTTTTAAAAAAAGTTAATAGGAATTGGGTTATCCAATTCAATCTCTGGTCTATTAACTTAATTTTTTAATCGATTTGATGATTAGTTCGATTTTTAAAACATTAATAGTTACAGTGTTTAATATTCTTACTAATTAATTCAATTATAAGAAAATTTTATATAATTTAAAAATTATTTATTAATTTATCACATCACTTTATTTTAACATGTAATATAATATTTAAGATATACATAAATATTTATTATTAGATAACATATATAAAAAAAGTTCTAATTTATATAAAATTTAACATACATGATCATGAATATAGTATGACACAATTCAATGATGGTTTGATCGGTTAAAGTTATATGAAAGTTATAAAAAATATTAATAGGAGTATATATGTAATGATATTTATTTATTAATACATGCACAAATATAAGAGGATTCGGAGTGATAATCTTGTGAATTTTCTTCTTATTTAGTTATTTCTATTTGATTATTATAAAGATCATATCGAAATGCTAAATATTTTCAATTAATAATTTATAAATATGATTCTTAACAATAACCAATTAAATATTTTTTTTCTATTTGATTATCGTGAAAATCTTATCAAAATGTTAAATATTTTTTAATGATAATTTATAAATAATGTTTTCAACAAGGTTTACAATATTTTTTAATGTCTGTAAAAATGAGTGAGTTTGGATTTTAGTTTCTATAAAAAAAAATTATTTGTTTTTTATTCTTCTAAAATTTGTAAATTGTGTCTTTGATCTATATAAAATAAAAATTTAATTTTAGTCTTCGTAAATTATTTTTATATGATTTTTATCTCTCTAAAGTTTAATGTAATTATTTTTTAACCCTAAAAATTATTTTAAGATAAATAAATAACATTTAAAAAAATAGAAAAATATAGATATGTCACACAATAACATGGTATCATAGATAGTTGTAGGTGCTATTTAAGACGGTTATTTAACCTTCTAATAAAAATATAAGTAATTAAAAAGATCACTTAATAGTAGAGACTAAAAATAATAATTTTAAATTTTAAAAGATGAAAAACAAAGAAAAATATTTACTAAATTAAAATCAAAATATGTTCATTATTAGGTTAAAAACATATTTAAGCTTTTTGACAATAATTATTTGAATCTTCTTCTTATTTATACATTCTGAATATCTTATAAAATATTAAACATTCTCTAATAATAATTTATAAATAATATATTTAGCAATAACAACTTAGATCTTCTTTTAAATTGATTTAAGTGAAGATCTTATAAAATATTAAATATTTTCTAATAATAGTTTATAAATAAGATTTTTAGAAATAATCATTTAAATCTTCCTTCTATTTCATTATTGTGAATATCTTCTCAAAATATTAAATATTTATTTAATAATAATTTATAAATAAGATTTTCAATAATAGTCATTTAGATCTCTGACTATTGTCAAGATCTTATCAAAATATTAAATAATTTTTTAATAATGCTTTATAAATCACATTTTTTTAATAATTATTTAATTTTTCTTCCTAGCTCATTGTACTAAAAGATAGACACAGGAGTAAAAGTTTACTCTTTTCAATTTAAAAAGATAAAAAGTTATTATAATAATAATAATAATAATTCTCTTTTCTAAAAAAAAATATATTAAAATATCATTAATAATAACTTAGTGATTTAAATAAAGAAGTTGATAATCAATGTCATAGGTTCTAATAATACTTATGAAATTACTTTTTTTTTTAATTTTATATTTTCTTGTAATATCATAAATGTCAACACACATGAATATTGTCACATTTTTAATGAGTGACATTTCATGTTAATGTAAAATACAATAATATAAGGAAAAATATCAATAATATATAAGGAAAAATAATTAGTTCATTTTTATATAAGTAAAATTACTTTTAAGAATGATAAAAAATATATATAAAAAAGTAAGATTAATTGCATAATTAATAAATGACATTAAATATTAGGATATTGTTTGCGTACTTTATATACAGAGATAGAGAAATGCCTCTAGCTGCAGATAGCAAGTGAATAATATATTGTAGTTTTTTCATATCTTTCCGAATACATTTGCACTATGGTTAGTGAAAATAATAGTTATCTGCATATTCCATTGTTCTAGGTTTTATCTTCTAATTCGTGTATATCTATGTGACAGGGATTGTTTATAATTGGACTTTTGATCTTTTCTACTGTATCCTGCAATTCATGGGTTGGAAATGGCCAAATCTTTGACGTGCTTAAATATGGTGCCAAAGGAGATGGCCACTCTGATGATTCTAAAGTAATATTATCATAACGTTTCCTACAAATCTTTTGCCACTTTTTTTTTTAAAAAAAAAATGAATCTTGTAGTTCTCACGAATTTCACTAATGATATATATTTTTTTGGGTAATTACCAATGATTTATTATTCATGTCATGATAAAATAGATTTAAATTTTCGATTTTGAAAGTCATGATTTTTATTTCCTATCTTATTATCTTGTTTTCGTAAAGTTTATATATCTTTTTCAATTGTTAAAATGTTCATTTTTATCTCTTTAAAATGTATTCTTTTATGTTAAATTTTACTTTCTTACAATCTTTTTTTTTTTTTTATAAAGATAGGATACTTTCTTACAATCTAAGAGACTTATATCTCGTATATTTTACAAATATTTATAATTTTAAATAAAAAAATATAAATTAAAATAAAGATTTAAGTTTTTAAGATGAATAATAAATTCGAAAAATAAGTATTAGAAAATTGGAAGAAAAAAAATCAATTTAATGGAGAGTGTAATAAGAGAATTTATCATATTCATGAATGAAAATTAAGATTTATAATATAAAAGTTAATTTAATTTATTTTAGTTTTTTTTATTTAGATTAAATGTGTTTCCCTCTTTTTTACTCCAAATTTTATATTATTAAGGTTAAATTGTATTTTTTTTCTCTATAATATCAAATTCACAATTTTAATCTTCTATTTTTAAATTCATAATCTTAGTTTCTTAATTTTGTAAAATCTACGATTTCAGTTTTCTCATTGAATATTTATGGGTTGATCTTTAAAATTGTAAGACACTATAAATCACAAAATAAATAATATTTAACGATATTTAAGTTAAATTATACTTTTAGTTCTCATTTTTATTTCATTTTATCACTTTTATGAGATAAAAATAAGGATTAAAAGTAAAATTTAACATAAATATTATTAAATATTAATTATTATATCATCTACTTAAAATAAAATTATAACAAATGTTATAATTTTAGTAATCAATGGATAAATATTTAATAAGAGAATCAAAATTATAAATTTTATAAAATTAAGAGACTAATATTACATATTTTTATATAAAAGAATCAAAATTATAAATTTTATGTTGTAGAAAAATGACTTAAAAATACAGTTTACTCAATCATTAAACTCATGATATTATTTTGTTGTAAATCATATATCTTAACAACAGATGGTTGGTCGGAGTAATATATACTCGATTTAATATATATATATAAACTATTTTGTAAAATAATTTCATATTACTTAATACAAAGACAAAAATTAATATTTTTTAAAGACTTAATATATAGTAAATAGATAGATATTCTCTCTCAACTTAATTTTTTTTTTTTATGCAAGAATCAGGATATAAATCCTAACCGCTTTATTAAGCGATGAAAATCTATTCACTCACGTTAATTTAAGTTGATTTTAAAAAGTTTGTTTTGAAAACAAGAGTTCTAAAACCAAAATTGAAAATAGTTAATTGAAATGTTTTTTTATCCATGATTTAAATGAGGGGATTTTATGTTTAATTAAGAGGAGAGGAAGGGATGAGAGGTAATTCTTTTTCTTATTTGATTTTCAAGGTGAGAGAATGAATTTAAAAAATTAATTTACTTTTTTTTATTTATAATTTTAAATTAAAAAATATAAGTGAAAATACTTTGGACATTATATTAAAAATGTTTTAAAATTCTTTTGTCTCTCCTCAAAATCTTCTAATATTAGACGGGAACCAAAATTATAAGGAAGAGTTTTGCTCAACTCCCCTTCCATTTTAGAAATTGAACCAAACAATAATTTAAAATAAATAAAAAAATAAAAAAAAAAAAACACTTTCCCTCCTCATTCCTCCCCTCCCCTCCCTTCCAACTACGTAAACACTATGTAAGTGATTGATATTTCAGGCATTTAAAAAATAGAAATATACTCATGCAACAATACTTTCATATTTGTGGATTTTTTAAATTAGTAAATAAACAAGGCCTAGTTTTTCATCTATAATAATATTTTTATTATGTTTAACAAATTAATTTTTTAGCTTTCCTATTTCTTCTTTTTATTACTTACATTTAATATATTTTTTTATTTAATAAAAATATGATTTTTTTTTTCACCGGATTGATTCTTATAGAGATGAAGTAATACATTTAATTATAATTCTAGATTTTTTATTTAATAAAAAATACATTCAATTATTTACGTACAATAGAAGAATTTCACACATTAAATGAGAACTAGATTTTTTTTTACCCCATTTTTAACTTAGATTTAATATAAGGAATTAAGGATTGATTTATTATTCGTTAAAGACATGGCTTGCTTGTTCAATTTGTTCAAAATCACGTCTTAGTTTCTTTACTTTATTTATTTATTTATGTATTTATTTTACATTCAATGCTTTCAATATTTTTATTCAACCTAAATTTAATAATACCCATAATGCATAATACTAAAAAGACCGTCATGCATAATACCACAAGTCGAATTAGTCTTTGGCCAAGTTGTGTGAAGGAAAAAAATAATACAAAAAAAAAAAAAGAATACTTGCTAATTCCATATATTAAAGAGAAATTGGAGGAAATTTCTAAATTTTAATATGCTATGCTATATCTTATGTAGGCTTTTGTGGAAGCATGGAATGCTTTATGTGGAACAAGTCATGGCAATGCAACGCTTATGGTGCCAGCTGGGCATTCGTTTTTTGTGCAACAAACAACATTCAAAGGTTCCTGCAAATCCCAGAATGTTGATATTGAGGTATAAACACTAGAAACCTTCAAATTCTATTCCTATCACTCTTATATGCTGAATATTTTTATGGCAAAAGAATAGAAACAGGATAATAATACTAAATCTACAATTTTTCCAGTGAATTTGATTAGAATGTACAATAGTTTAAATAGTTCTTATACAGTATTTTAATTATAAATTATCATGTATATTAACATTATTAATTTTTTTAATAGTTACTTTAAAAAAATATTGAGAGGGATTTCTAAATAATTAATAATATAAAAAAAGTTTACAATGACATGAAAATTAAACTATGGTTCACTGTAAACTTATCAATTGTTAGATTATTTTTCTGAAAATCAATACTAGCTACCTCCGTTTCATTTTGTTTAATGTTTTGTCATTTTTTTTTTAAATTTGATTGTCGTTTTAGTATATCAATTTATTATTAAATATTTTTTTCTTCTATTATACCTTAATAAATGTGTTGTCTTTTTTTCTTTTAATACTTATTTAATTGGTGAGAACTCAAAAGGTTTAAGGATATATTAGGAAGTTATATAATTTATTTTTTATGAAATCAGATGTATTATTAATTGTATTTATTAAGTTTTATATAATCTTAAACATTAAACAAGGAGGTTGTGTATGCTTAAGTGTGTAAGTTGATTAAATTTAATGCTTGAGGATGCAGATTCAGGGCACCCTACTTGCACCTAAGAGAGATGCATGGGGAACATGTTCAAGACGGTGGCTTCATTTCCTTAACGTTCGTGGTTTGACAGTTCATGGATCAGGAGTAATCAATGGTCAGGGTCAAGATTGGTGGGGCAATGTAATAGCAATGACTTTTTATTTTTTATTTTTTATTTACACCAAACATGAATACTTATTCACCTACTTTCTAAATTAAATTTAATAATCTACTTATTTAGCTATTATCATACATTAGTTTGAATAGGAAGAAGTGGTTTTTCCTTTATTTTAACTTTTTTATAGTTTTATTTTTTGTCATCACTTAAAAAGCATCTCAATCATTGAAATATATTTGTGCTATATAAATTATTATTTCTTATCTTATTTTATTAATAAAGGACTTGTTTGTATCCTAACAGCTCGGACATAACTATTTTAGCACTCATTATAAGTAAGATTAATCATCTAACAATGTTCCATTTGAACTTGCAGCTGACTGGAACTACAGGATGCAAGGGAATACCCACGGTTTGAAACTCTAGATTTCATACTCTTGTATTCAAGATTAAACATCCAATGTATGTCACTAGCATTTATAAATTCGATGATAATAAATTATTAATATTCATATTTGCAGGCTCTTCTTTTTGAAAACTGTGATGGTCTTCAAATAAGAGGACTCACTCACATCAACGGGCCAGCATCGCACGTCTATGTGGTCCATAGCAAAGACGTAACCATCTCAAATGTTAACATATACTCGCCAGTTGGAATAAGTCACAACACCGATGGAATTGATCTTACAAATACAGTTCATGTTAACATTCTTGACTCCATAATAAGAACAGGTAACATATGAAACATAAACCTTTTTTAATTAGTTATGGTTTTCCTTTCTCTTCTCTAAGTTGACTCTTCAACTTTGATTCATGGGTTGCACGTATAATTTTATGATTTAGGTGACGACTGCATTGCTATTAAAGGTGGCTCACAATTCATCAACGTTAACAATGTCACATGTGGACCGGGTCACGGCATTAGGTATTCTTCAAAATACTCATGAAATGTAAATTATCTAGTTATAGTGATTTACCTTGCTCAAAATTTAGCTTTGAATTTCATCAAGCTCGTTACAGATATGTGTATTCATTTGCTAGTCCTAAAACGTGCACAAATTGACATTCCTTATTATCATAAACCGAAAGAAAAGCTTAAGTTGGGAGAAATATAAATTGTTACATTACATGTACAAACATTTCATTTATATAGTTTGAGTTTTCACCTAAAACTAAAGTTTTATGAATGAACCATTCCTCTCAAATTTTTTTGCAGTGTGGGGAGTCTAGGGGAAGGTGGGGAAACAGAATTTGTAGAACATGTGAACGTCAGCAATTGCATATTCGATGGAGCTGATAGTGCAGCTAGAATCAAGACATGGCCAGTAAGTAATAATACTATATGCTTTAATTTGGGATATGAAAAACTATACAATAAGACCCTATATCTGTATCTTAATTTTAATTAACAAAAAAATTCATTCTATTTTTTAAAGGGTGGAAAAGGATACGCAAGGGATATCACCTTCCAGAATATCAGCGTCAATCGAACAAATTACCCAATATATATAACCCAACATTACATGCGCACTCCAGAAAAGGTTAATATTCTTTCTCATCAATTACTTCAGTTTATTTGTTTATGGACAATATGCATCATTTTTGTTTTTATTTTGGTTGCAGAAGGACGCATTAAAAGTGAGTGATGTCACATTTAGCAATATCTATGGAACATGTATCAGTGAGAATGCAGTTGTGCTGGATTGTGCCAAGATCGGGTGTGACAATATTACCCTGAAACAAATCAACATTACCTCAATCGATCCAAAGAAGCCAGCTGCTGCAACATGCAGCAATGTTCATGGGAAAACCACTGATATTGTTTCACCACGAGTCCCTTGTCTACATTAATAAAGAGACATGTCTACCTTGATTAGATAACAAGGATGTCAGTTCTTCCTTAATTTGTTAGTTTTGAACCGATGTAAGAAAGTTTATAAAACAAATGATTAATAGAAAATTGGCATTAGAGTATCATATATCAGTACAATAAGTGATGTCGACTTTATGTAAACATTCTCACAAAATTAGGCGCTTTTATTATGGTTATCTAATCAAAATTGAAGATTACTTCAATAATTTATGTTGACCTCATGTAATCCTTTATTAAGTAGATTTATTGATATGAAACTTCAATTTTGATTGAAGAACAACAGGAAAAAAAAAAAAAACTTGAAGAAATGCATATAAGTTTTGTTTTATACAATTCACATATTTTTAAGAGTTTGAATTTTAACATATTGATGAGAACAAAATGCACTGTCCTTGTATTTGTTTCCATTAATTAGTTTTCAAGCACTTGATCAAAACTTCGAAGCACTTTCAGGCTTCAACAAATGAATAGAAAATTTTAGATACCTCTTACCAATTTGTCACCAGAAGTCTCCGCAGGAGCACAAACCATTCTTGAAATGGTGGAAACGATTGCGGTCCCTCACAACAATCTCCCGGTTATAAACCTTAGATATGAACTTAGTAGCAGAGTGACAATCTTCACAAACGCGCAGGTTCTTCACAATTCTAATAGGTGTTCCAGGGGGCGTACTCAGAAGAGCAAAAGCAATAGCAAGCTTTTCACTGTGTCTATACAAAGCATCTTCCTTATCTTCTTCATCAATGTCAAGCAACACCTGTGATGTTGTAGGCACATAACCTGCTCTCTTTATCTCCCTTCCCATCTCCTCCACCATTTCATATATCTCCTTGTACCGATCATGTGACTTATCCCCAGCAACAAACTCATATATTTCATTATTCATCTCAATCATGGTGCTACCTGGAATCTTCCTCATCCCCTTCACATCCATCATCTCCCTAACCTTTGTCTTCTTCTCCCAACGCAGCAATTTCGCGTAAATGTTTGACAGCAGCACGTAGTTAGACTCGTGCATCGGCTCGCGCCTGATGAGCTCTTCTGATATGCTTTCACCCAGCTTAAGTTCACCACGAGCATGGCATGCAGTGACTATGCTTCTCCATATGACCTGGTTAGGCTCAACCGGCATGGCTCGAACAAACTCCAAAGCCTCATTCACAAGCCCTGCTCTACTCAACATATCAACCATGCATCCATAATGTTCGATCTTTGGCACAATGCAGAACCTATTCTCCATTGTATTGAAATAGTAACGCCCCTTATCAACCAGCCCTGAGTGACTACAAGCAGAAAGCACCCCAATGAAAGCAACATCATCAGGCTCCACCCCTTGTTCCACCATCTCATCAAAAACCGAAACAGCCTCCAATCCACGACCGTGCGTTGCCAAGCCAACGATCACCGAAGTCCATGAAACTATGGTCCTCAATTCCATTTCCCTAAAAACTTTCACAGCCCTATCAACATCACCACACTTGGAAAACATGTCTATCAGCGCGTTACACAACTCCACTGACTTCGTTATGTTCTTCCTTTCAACATAAGACTCCAACCACTTCCCCAATTCAAGCGCACCCAAATCAGCACATGCAGACAAAACCGAAACCATGGTGACCTCATCGGGAGACACCCCCGTAACCTGCATCAAGGCTATCAAATCAAGATCAAAATTGTAAACTGCTAAACTAATTTTTGAATTCTAAAGCAAAATTTTTTCGAATCATAAGATTCAAATATAATGAAAAATAACTTCAAATATTCATATAAATATATAGTATGAGTAAACACCTATATTAGTTCTTAAACTAAAAATTGTAAAATAAGTCTAAGAGTACAAATTCACCATTACATTAGTACAAAACTAAGTTAATGTGTGATTAAAAATATAACATATCAATATATTCAAATATCAAAATCACAATAAATATTTGAATTAAAAGACTTATTTGATATTTTATTCAATAATTTCTCAATTTTAAGGATTAATACGACAATGTCTTTTAAAATCAGGAATCAAAATGGGAGTTTACTCTATAAAACATTCAATGTAATAATATTATACTATAAATAAATAAAAGCGACTTAACCATAGGTCCCATAAAACAAAATTATTAGTTATACACGAGTTTTTGAAACATCTTTTTTTAGAAGAATGGAAACTAAGTAATGAAATAGACAGAGTACATGCATCGGTATAAGTGACTGACAAAAGAAAAAGTAATGCAAAAACAAAAAATAATAAGTTTAGAAAATACACCTTCAATTTTTTTTCATTTAACAATCTAAACTTTTATGCATTTTCAATTTCTTTTGTAAATGGAAAACAATATGTATCGATGATAATTCATTTATGTATAGTTGGATTCACAAATGATTCTGATGAAAAAAAAGTTTAATTCCTCTTTTAATCCTTGCAACTTCATAAACTTTCCTTTATTCTTATAATTAAAAAGGTTTCATTTTAGTCTTCATATATATAATTTTTGTTCCTTTAAAATCTTTGTGGTTTATTTCTACATAGACTAAAAGTAAAATTTTATGTACCTATCAGGACTAAAAGGAACCAATTTTTTTTTTTAAGAATTATATATATTTTTAGTAATTATACTTTTGCTAATTTTTTTTTTAGTCTTTGAACAAAAATTTGTCAAAGTAAAACAAAAATTGACAAAAATTAAGGGAATAAAAATATATTTAATCTTATTTTTAATTAAAAAAATGATAAAATTTATTAATGGCCCATCTTATGACAGTCGAATCTTAGTAATAGTAGGATTTGAATCGTGAATGCAAGATTCAAACAACTATTACCTGCATTTCTCGAAACAACGCAACCGCACGTGCAGAATTCCCCGCACGTGCATACCCTCCGATCATGGCGCTCCACGTCACGGAATCCCGTTCAGGACTTCCATCAAACACCTTCTGAGCACTCTCAGTGGCTTCCCCGCAGCAACAGTACATATGAATCATGGTGTTCCGCACGTGCAAGTCGTCTTGGAATCCAAATTTCACAACCGAGGAGTGCAGCGTCTGGCCAAGGCGCAAGCCGGCGAGGCCGGCGCAGGCCTTGAGAACGAACGGAAACGTGAACTTGTTGGGCGGAACGGCGTGGCGGAGCATGGCGCTGTAGAGGCGCAGGGCGTGGGGCTTGGAGTGCGTGGTTTGCGCGAAGGCTCTGATGAGGGTGTTGAAGAGGAAGACGTCGTGGAAGGGGCGCGTGTGAGGGGTGGGTTCGTGGTCGGGGAAGATGACGGAGGAGGCGTAGTGGACGGCGTCGAAGAGGGAGGAGGTGGCGGCGAACTTGGTGAGGACGAGGGGGTTGCGGTGGAGGCCGAGTTTGAGGATGAGGGCGTGGATTTGGGTGAGGGTGGCGACACTTTCGCATGAGGTGAGGAGGGACAAGCAGCTTTGCTCTGCAACGCGGCGTTTTGTCGTGCCTGAAGGGACTTCAACTTGGAGTTGGAGTTGGAACCTTGCAGAGGATAGTTTCGTTAATTGCATTGCTTCATCCTCAAACAGTCAAACTAAGGTCATCGATATGTGTCTCTATCATATACTTCCCAACACTTTCTTCTTCACTATTCAGATTATGCTTGAAACTTTTCTAATATTTTATCTTTATATAACTATTAGAGTCACTCAACTCCTCTATTTTTAATACATCAATCTTATTTTGAATTTAATTAAAAAATTAAAATTCAAAATAATTTATAAGGATGTCAAATGTAATAACTCATCATATTCTCTATATTTAGTGGAATTACACTAATTACACTAGTAAATTAAAAAAAAGATATTAAACTAGATAACTAAATACATACATATATATACAAGTAATAATAAACTACATTTCTATGCACAAAATACAATACTATATATATAGTCATCCAAAATAATAATACTTTCTTAATATCGATCAAGTACAAACAAACAGTTACCTAATATGGTAACTCTGATACTAGGACAAAACTCCACATCCCACAATAGTCATAGCAACCAGCTCCAACCTAATCCTGACTTACTCTCATACACAATATGATCATCGCAGTTCATCCACATGGAAACAAAAGGATAAGCTAGAGTTCAATAATCAATCATGTAAGCAAAAGAATAAACATATATGTTACACCATCATCAAATCACCAATCATTCTCACAGAGTCACACCATACACTTTATCATACACTACTCATGTAGTAAATGCAACTCATAACAGATATCAATGCATATTCATCATCTAATGCGTCGTCACGCATTCACCTAGGAGATCTCCCTAACAACAGAGCAGTATAAGTGATATCTCATCCTACCAAAACTACCCTAACCGTTTTCACACCCAATGTACCCGCTCGATCACAGCAAATCGGGATATTAATCCTCACTCGAGTTTACTCGGATGATGTCACTTACATACTTGGAAGTCCGATTTTACCGTCAAGTATAGCACAACTGAGTACAGGCTTACCATGACCTTGACATGCATTACCAAGTCACTTGTGGAGTTCGCCCACCGACTATCTGCAAGGAACCACGTACCTTCCCCAGTACTTGGTTAAAGGAATAACTCTCGACCTCATACCCCGCTCCAACACTAATTAAGGACTTAAAGAAGACTCACCCGAACCAGTGGCTATCCAAACACCACTCTCAAGAAACTCTATATGAGTTCTTCTAGTTCAAAAACATTTTCCCTCTCTTCAAGTCCTAGGCTAGACACATGCCATAAGGCATCTCATGCAACAATGCATCATACATCATACATGGTCAATCCACCACTATGATCAATATTATTCTCATATAAACATACATTCATATCATATCATGTTTAAACATTCATATATATCATTACTAAGCATACATATGAATCAAGCACCAATTTACATCATATATCATACATATATGAACCAACTATACAACATAGTATCATACAACTTTTTAATCCACATGATAACATCTTAACACCTCAAAACAACATGTGTCTCTCTTCGACAACTATCAAAGAAGACAACACATAGACAGATATACTCATCCAAATAAGCTCAAACCTATCTCAAAAGAAAAATAAGAGGATAATCTACAACTCTTATAAAGACATGAAATTCTAAATAAATCGTCTACTTGGCTAAAAATGTTAAAACTCGCAACAGATATGATCAATACTAACAGCTTGACCCTTGTTCTCTAAAATAGTCATAACTAGAGTTCTAGACCTCCTTTTTAGGTGATTCCAACACCATTGGAAAGCTAACATACAAGGATACAACTTTTATGAAGACATAAAAGTCTAATTCAGAAAAAATAAAAACCGTTCAGCACCTCCCAAAGCGCTCAGCGCTTTACTTCCAGGAATTCTCCCCTGTAACGCGACCCCCAAAGGGCTCAGCCCTTTAAAATGGCTAAGTCATTTCAAAAGCACTCATCCATTTAAAATGGCTTAGCCCTTTGGTTCTATAAACTCTCCTCTGTCACGTGGCCCCTAAAGGGCTCAGCCCTTTAAAACGACTCATTCGTTTGATGATAGAGGCACCATGTTCTTCACCATTTTTGGACCTTTAAACTTGAAACTCAGAAAAAACCCACATGCAATGGAAGATATAACATCCATGCACCAAAAATAGTTCAATTCAAGTCCTAGAAATAATATGCACTCATCCGATGCACCAAATCAGCCAAAACCCTGTTTTAACCCAAAAACCCTAAAAATGGGAAAATCCCTCAAATCAGCAAATCAACCTTCAATTCATGCATCAATTGAGTTTCTAAACTCACATGCAACCAATCTATCACAATCCTAGCTTCCCTTACCTGAAAATTGGCTCAGAGCAGCCAAGAAGAGGAAGAAGAAGAAAAATCCTTAAACGGTTGACCCGCAGACTTCAATCTGCCAAAATCAAGCTTTCTAGCCTGAATTCAACGAAAAGATAGAAGAGATTAGTGATCTAGAAGAGAAGAGGAATCAAGCAAACAAATTTGGGAGAAAAAGGAGCTCACAGACCTAGAGCCCTTCTCTCTAAAACTTCTCTCTAGATTTTCTTTGAAAATGAGCTTATGAGGTTTCGTTCTCAAAGGAAACCTTATATACCCTTCTCACTAGAGTTAACTAAACTCTAAACAATTAACTTACTACATTAAAATACCCCCCAACAAATAGGAATTTTCGTCCCCAAAAATAGGCTTACCTGTAAAAAGGAATGGACATAGTTCCCTGAACTGACTCACCACCTCCCAAATCGCCTCACCAGTAGCTGCATCCCAAAAAACCTCACCAAGCTAATGGACTTGCCCCGAAGCTCCTTCATCTTGTGATCAACCACAAATATCGGTTTCTTCTCGTAGGTCAAGTTCTCTCTAACTTGCACCTCATTCATCTCCACCACATGACTCAAGTCTCTAATGTATTTCTTCAACTGTGAAACGTGAAACACATCATGTAGATTGGATAGAACTGGGTCTCTTTAACGTATGTTATGGTAGCAGCACCTACGCAAGGTTTTACATTCTCCATGAGATCTATGAAGGGTAGTAGCTCCAATAATGAGCACCCGGATGGCGGTTGCGGCGTTAAAGTATCCTTTCTGGACAAGGTAGTGCAAGGGTAGAAAACTCATAGTCCACGTCTTATGGTAGACCTTTTCAAACAGAAGTTGGTTAAGATCGAGTATGAAGATGGTAATCCAGTCAAATAAAAGGTTCATATACATGATTCAGTGTTCCAAGGCCTTTGTGCACCATGGCAAGATGCATTGGTAATCAAGTTGTTAGGAAAATTGGTTGCTTTTCCTTTTCTTAAGGAAAAAGTTACACGCTTATGGAAGCTACAAGCGAGGTTTGATATGATTGATATTGGAAACAATTATTTCATGATCAAATTTGATACAAAAGATGATTGCAAGATGGTGATGGAAGAGGGCCCCTAGATGGTTCTTGACCACTACTTGATAGTTCAAGTATGGACATCAGACTTCATGTCTCCCACGGCTAAGATCGAGAAAACCATGGTGTGGATTTGTTTCCCCGGTTTGAACCTTTTCTATTATGATGAAAGTATCCTCTTAGCTTATGCGACAACAGTTGGGAAGCCTGTTAAAGTTGATAACAACACTAAGGAAGTGCGAAAAGGATGTTTCGCTAGAGTATGCGTTGAGATTAATTTGACGAAACCAATGGTTGGAAGAATATGGCTGAAGGATTTTTGGTACAAGGATGAATACGGGGGTCTCCATCGTATTTGCTTTACTTGTGGATGCTATGGGCATTTTACTCGGGATCGTTCCTCTCCTCCTAAAACTAGTGACGACACCAACACCATAGTCGTCAAAGGGGCTTGTGCACAACCCATAGTACAATCTCCTATGATGGCAACGACCAATAGCTCCGATGGTGTAGTTAATGCGCACAACGATAATAATGGCCTGAATATCCTTGGTGATCCATCAGTTACAAAACACGATCTTATTCATGAAATGGATCAACAAGCATAACATTGTGATTGGCTTGTGGTTCGCCGCAAGTCTCACAAAAAAAAAATCAACCCCATAATTACATAGAGGGAAAGAATATTATGGACCAATTACATGAGACCATGCAGAATAATGGGAAGACCCCAATTACTAGGTTGGTGAGGCCCAAAAACACTGGTGCTAGTAAGGCTAGCAAAGGTTTCTATTCTACTAAAAATAAAAGGCCACGTGCTACACAGTTGAGTAACATAACACCAATCTATAAATTGATTGAGAATGCGGTTAAAACTACGACCCCTAAAAGCAAGGTCAACCCAACATGTGTGAAAGGTGTCTCTAATACAGGCCATATTCCTATTGTTATTTTGGATACTGTATCTCTCCCAATAAACACAAAGCAACCTCCTAAAATGGTTACTTCAGCAAGGACTTCTATGCCAAATGTATTGGACCCAATCATTGACATTGCAAACCCACCTAATGATGCGATGGAGATTATTCACACTTCCATGGAAATAGTCATCCTAATGGTAAGTTTTTGCTGGAAGCAAATCATACTAATAATGACCACTCTATGGTCACGTAGGGGGTTTCTTGCCTCCTTATTCATCTCGCATTGGTTTACCATGAATTGTTTTGGAGATTATTCGTTGGTTGCATGGAACATGTAGGGTGCAACTAAACGGGAGCAGAAACGCCACATTCGTCAAATGGTTAGAACTCACAAACCATCTATTTTATTGCTCTTCGAAACTCATTCTCAGTTTTCTCAAGTAGCGAATTCCTGGGCTGGTCTTGGTTATACACCATGCTTTATTCAAGAGGCTCAAGGTCACTCAGGAGGTATTTGGATTCTTTCTTGTAGAAAGGATTTTACATATAACCTAGTGGACTCCATGCCTAATGCTATTACGTTTACTATCAAAAAACTTGATATTCAATGGACTTGCACGACAGTATGCTCCACCAATTCCTTCAACTCGTTCTTTCTTTTGGGACTATTTGGTCAGTTTGGAAAATCGTACTCATAGGCTATGGTTGATGTTGGGAGACTTCAACGACATTATTCTCTCTGAGGAAACTTCTGGTGGTAACTTCTATCCCTCAAGAGCTTTTGCTCTAGCTAACATTTTTTCTAAGTGTGGGCTTCTTGACCTGGGTATTGTGGGAGGCAGGTTTATTTGGCGCAAAAACATCCATAATGGAGGTCATGTTCGGAAGAAGCTAGATAGATGTATGGCAAACTCTTCTTGGAGACTCCTATTCCCTAATGGTCTTGTTGATGTTAGGGATGACAAATATACCCGTACCTGCGGGTAATACCCGAACCTGTCCCGACTTTGGCAGGGAATACCCGGTTTGATCGGGTACGGGTACGGGTATGTACTTACCCGCCCGTCCCCGTTTCCATTTTTAATTCAATACTCACTTTCAATTTAATTATATTAAAGAATTTTAATATTTTTTTATGTGTGATTATTTATTATAATATAAGATAGAGAAATACCTAATTATAATTATAATATAATATAAAAAAATAATTTAAAAATATCATATTTTTTTTACAAAAAATAAAAAATAAAAAAAATTGACGGGTACGGTTATACCCGATACCTGACAGGGACGGGGATGAGGATGAAAATCACATACCCAACGGGTACGGGTACGAGGACGGGGATGAGTTTGACTCGCGGGGATGGGGACGAGTATCATGAAACCCGTAACCGACCCGCCCCGTTGCCATCCCTAGTTGATGTTCCCAATCCTTATGGTTCAGATCACAATCCTCTTATGGTCCATTGTTTCAAATCTCCGACCACAAAGAGTAAGTCATTTCATTTTCAAGCAGCTTGGATTCTTTATCCTGATTTCAGGAATCTGGTTTCCCAAACATGGTTGACCACTCCAAGTAATGCCATTATGAAGTTGGATGGGGTGAGAGAAAAAGCTACTTTCTTTAATAAAAGCACCTTTGGAAATATTTTCAAGTGTAAAAGAGATTTAGAGGCAAGAATCAAAGGAGTTCATAGAATCTTAGATTATTCTACCACTTTGGATATGATTCAACTTGAGAAATCTTTACAAAATAAGTACAATGAAGCTTTGGCCCAAGAAGAATTGCTCTGGTTCCAATAGCCTAAAGAGCAATGGATAAAATTTGGCAACAAAAACACCAAGTTTTTCATACTCAAACCATTATTTGAAGGAGAAGAAATAATATCGCTGGTTTGTTTGTGGATGAGACTTGGTGCTCTGATGTGAATGTTTTGAAGGAAGAGGTCCAAGGTTTTTTCAAGAGACTTTTTACTTCAAACGAGTCTTGCGCCCCTCATACTTTACAGCTTCAGAACATTAATCCTATTAATGTGGCTATAGTGGATGTTCTGCTTAGACTAGTGTCTTTAGAGGAGGTGAGAAGTATTGTATTCTCTATGAGCCCTTATAAGGCGCTTGGTCCAAATGGTTTCCAACCTATTTTCTATATGACTTATTGGGAAATTGTTGGACAAGAGGTGTGCGGTCTAGTTTAGACAACATTTACTACCGGTACCTTTCCTCGCCAATTAGTCGAGACCTTGATTGTTGTTATTCCTAAGGTTGGTAATCCTACTTCCATGAAGGAATTTCAGCCCATTAGTTTGTGCAATGTTCTCTTCAAGATTTTTTCCAAGGTATTGGTTCATAGACTCCGTCCTCATATGGATTCCATCATTGGCCCTCTTCAGAGTAGTTTTATTCCTAATAGAGGCACCGCAGATAATTCCCTTATTGCCCAAGAAATTGTCCACCATATGCATAGGAAGACAGAAGGTAAGGTTGGTTATCTGTTATTCAAAATAGACTTTAAGAAAGCCTATAATAGAGTTAATTGGGACTTCTTGCGTCTAACCTTGATGGAGTTTGGGTTCCCTTCCTCAACTATTGACTTGATCATGAATTGCACTTGTTCAACTTCATTGGCTCTAAAGTGGAACAACAAGACTTTGGAGGGTTTTCAACCAAACAAGGGCTTAAGACAAGGGGATCCTCTCTCTCCATATCTTTTTCTTCTATGCATGGAAAAACTTGCCTTACTAATTCAACAAAAGGTCTTTGATAGAGTTTGGCAATCAGTTAAGGTGTCAAAAGGAGGGCCAGAAATATCACACCTTTTATTTGCAAACAATTGCCTCTTGTTCATCAAAGCAACTTGTGGTCAGGTTAAGCTTGTCAAGGAGGTTTTAGATATTTTTTGCGAGGATTCTAGCCTGAAAGTGAACATCCAGAAATCTAGATTTTTCACCTCAAGTAATATATCCAGAAGGCAGATTTCCAAGTTCACTTCTATTATTCACTTCCACCACACTGTGGATTTGGATAAATATCTGGGATTTCCTTTGCATAAAGGTCGAGTTCGCAATAGTGATTTTTCACATATTGTAGACATAATCAATGGTAAGCTAACAGGTTGGAAGTCCAAGACCTTAAATCGAGATGGTAGAGTCACCTTAGCTAAGACTATTTTGTCTTCCATCCCGACCTACACCATGCAAAACGTTTAGCTCCCTCAAGGCGTTTGTGATAAAATTGGCAGTTCTATTTGAAGTTTTATATGGGGCAAGCCTTCTTGTCATTGGGTAAGATGGGATAAGGTCACTCAAATGAAGTGTATAAGAGGTTTAGGTATCCGACGATCTAAAGAGGCAAATATTGCACTCATTGGGAAGCATATTTGGTCCTTGCATCATCACACAAACAAGCTCTGGTGCATAGGTTGAAGGATAAATACTTGAGGGATTCGAATGTAATGAGTGGTGTTGTTAACAAAGGTGTTTCCTACACTTGTCGATCTTTGATGCTTGCTTATAACTTTCTCGAGGATGGCTTCAGATATAGAGTAGGGAGAGGTGACATCTCTCTAGTTTTTGAGAAATGTCTTGATGAGGGACTACTATGTAACCAGGTGGAGTTAGTTCATGAAAACGATTATCACTTGTGCATCAATGATGTGTTGGTCGACGGTGAATGAAGATGGTATGTCATGCACATGCAACTTTCATAGGTTATCATATAAAGTATGATGAGCATCATCTTGGACATTAATACTGAGGATAAAATTATTTGGAGCCACTCTAGTACAGGTTGTTACACTGCCAAGTCTGCCTTCCAGTGGCTAATCTATGAGCCTGCCAATCATTCCTCCTTATTGGGGAATTGGTCTTGTGTTTGGAAGACCTCTTTACCAGAACATATCAAATTATTCTTATGGCTTGCCTTCCACGGAAGCTTACCCACTAACCTTTTTCGCATTAAACGATATGTAACTATTGTTTGCTCTTGTTGTAGGTGTGGAGCTCTCGAGGAGTCCCTTCTCCATATGCTTTGGGATTGTCCTGCTGTTATAAATATTTGGAGGAAGCTCAGTCTTGATAGTGTAATTGACTTCAATATCTAGAACGAGATTCAATGGCTCAAGCACCAAATACAAGGATAACATCACTTACTGATAGCTTGCGCTTGTTGGTTTATTTGGCGTGCTCGGAAGGTAGAAACTATAGACAACGTGAAGTGGTCGGTATGGTTTACTATAAATCAAATCAAACTGCTACATGATATTATATCAGGTGATCCGTTGACTTCTACAACATTTTCGTTAGGGAGAATAGTTTCTTGGATTTACCCTCCAGAACATGTGTTTAAACTTAATGTGGATGGAAGCTCCATAGGCAACCCAAGACTTGCAGGTTATGGAGGTCTCTTACATAATTCAGTTGGAGAATGGATACGAGGCTTTACAGGTTCATGCGTCTTGGCTACAAGCCTCTATGCAGAATTATTGGCTCTGTTGAAAGGGATTCAACTTGCTTGGGACATGAATATTTGTGATTTCCTATGTGAATCAGACTCATTACCTGCCCTTCAACTCATTACTCAAGATACTTCATTTTATCCTTATGCTACGGTCATAAATAAGATTTAGGAGCTTAAGCGTCGAGATTGGAACATCACTTTTGTTCACATCCTTCATGAAGGGAATAGTTGTACAAATATGTTAACCAAGATGGGATCTACCTCAAATACCGCTATGGTGATTTGGGATTTCATCCCTCAACAATTACACCCCTTGTTATTAGCTGATGCCATAGGTGTCAGCTATTTTAGGTCCTATTTTTGTTTGTTATTTTCGTACTTGATAAAAAAAAGAGTAAAATTTCTTTTTTAATACATAAATTTTATTTATAAGACTTTTTAGGAATTTCTAAAATTAAAAAATATGTCAAATAAATTTTAAATTATCAGTATTATTATTTTAATTCCTAAAATGTATAATTCATCATCATTGTAATTTTAAAGTTTTATAATTTACTATCATTATAATCTTTAATTAAGTTCATATTTTTAAATTTTATAATTTATTATTGTTATAGTCTTTTAGAAATTTATTTTACATTTTTTTTTTAATTTTGAGAACTATTATCTCATAAACTTTAATTATTATTTTTTTGAAATTTATGACATTATCTCATATATTTAGGGATTAAAATATAATTACATTTCCCCTTATCCTTGAACCGAAACGACAGCGTTGAGATCAATACCAATGTCGGACGGGCAAGTATAATAGAGTCTTTCAACTTTTGTTTCTTCTGGTGGTGAGGGAAGTAGCCACGTCACTCACCATCCACCTTTCTTCCTTTCTTCTCAACTCCCCTCTGCTATTACACTTACCATTGCAATCGCAAGCATTCAAAAATGCGAGTGAAGTTCATTGACTTTCGACGAGAATAACAAAATCACAAACACACAAAAATGACAAGAATCTGGAATCTTCTATTCAAATCGAAACGACTCGCTGCATTTTCAAGCCCAGCCTCCAAGTTCCGCGTCAATGAGCTTCGCTCTTATTGCGATCAATCGCACCTTCGTCCAGGTTCATCCTTATTCACTCTTGTTCCAATTTCAATTTCATTTCGGCATCATAATTTTCTACGTTCTGCGACTTAATTTTGATGATTAACCGTTAATTATCCTAGTTTTTTATTTTTATTTTTTAAAATTTAAATTGAGTTTTGTTAGTTTCTTTGCGGAAATTGTGGTGTACCAGGGCCGCTTGTGAAGTACCGAAGTCTAGTTGATCAAGGGAAGTTGCAGCATGATCCTTACCAAGAGAGTGTTGCTTCGGAGCTTGAGAATTTGCTTGCAAGGTTGGAGCAGTATGAGAAAGATATGGAAGAGTATCATGTATAATTATTAATTGGAATTGGATATTCTATTTGTTTTTTTTTTCTTGATTTGTTGCACCAACTAATACATGTTTTCTTTTAGTTATGGTTGCAATAATAGTGGAGAATCAGCTGTTATAGGCTACAAGAAAGAACATCTTAGGAATCTCTGTCACTGCTTGGATTGTGTTTGTGGTTTTTGAATTTGTCCTCACTCTTGACAGGTGAATTTAGCTAATTGGGAGAAGCAGCGGGAGGATGAGCGCCGAAGGCTTCTCATGGAGGAAGTTGAGCGGCAGCAGAAGGATGAGGACTGGTTGAAGCGGTTGAACAATAAGCTTACTGAAAGATGGGAATCCCGGTAACTGTTGAGTTAATTTCACTTGGTTTTGATTCTACTGGAAGCTTAACCAATGTGATTTCACTGTTTCTATGGATTTTCACTGACACTGGGAATTTCAAATTCAGCTTCTGTTTGCTTATTGTGAATTTTTTTTTTTTGTCTTGATTAGGGCTTAGGATGTACTTTTTTATTGAAGCTACTTGTATTGTGAAATGTAATTGAAGTTGCGTGTCCTTTTTTTGTGATTCAGGAGAAGACCAACAAATATGGAGCCAGGGGTAGGGAAATGGGTATCATATCTAAAACGTGAGAAGAAGTTGGATTCACTAGTTGGTGGTCGTCCAACTGCTCCTCCAGCTCCTAAAGGAATTTACATATATGGCAATGTCGGCAGTGGTATTTACCTTCTTGTATTATTCTTTTCTTTATTTTTGGATGATGTTTATGCTTACCTGTATTGCAAACTTATATTAGCTTAATTTGATTTCTAAGAAGAATGCTAGCAACACGAATAGATAGTTAGATAATCATAAAAACATTGTCACGCAGAACAAAACCTCATCATGAAATAATGAACAAAAAATAAAACTTAATATGAGTGCATATCATTGGTAAATACCATTACTCAATCTGTGTCCAAGATGTTAAAAAATATTTTTTTAATTGGACACTGCCATCAGGTGTTTGACACGTATCCTATCCATGTTGGAGAGGCGTTAAAGCAACTCCAATGCAGTTGATTATGCTGGTTCTTAAAGTTAAGCAACTTGAAAATACTATTAGAGGAAATGATTTCTCATCATGTTCTTACAAAAGCTGCTTATATAAGCAACTACAACCAAAATTGCTTAACCATTAAAAAAAGAATTTTTCAAGTAAAAATGGAGATTCTTGTGTGAGTGGAGAGATAAAAAGAGTCCTACTAAAAATAAGTTAAGAAAACAAGTTGGGTGGTTCTATCATTGAAGTGAAAACATAGCTAAGAAACCAAATTGAGTTTTTGCATTGGAGATGTTCTTAGTTTTAAAAATGCGTCCGATACCCCGACACCTCCTTTGGCAGCTGTCTGATCTTTCTTGTTACTAAGTATGGTATTGCTTAAAGAATCTGGTTGCGTCATTTATGTCACTAGCCAGAATAGATATAATGTGTTGCCTTGGTTCTCTTTGTAATCCTAGTTTGCCAGTTTCTTCTCTAACTATCTGTTTTGCATTTATAATGCTGAAGGGAAGACAATGCTGATGGACATGTTTTATAGTGCCACTGAAGGAATTGTCAAATATCGAAGAAGGTATCACTTTCATGAGGTGAGTCTTTTACTATGCTTTCAGGAGCTTTTGGCCATTTCAACATAGATGTTATCTATGTTGTTTTCTGGAATATATGCACTGTCTTACTTCAGTTGGAGCATTGTTAAATGTTGTGAACATGGTGCTGAAAGCAATTTCTCCACTAATATGCAGGCCATGCTTAGAATTAATGAACATATGCACAAGATATGGAAGAACCAAACGGAAGAGAAGCCTTTGCAATCAACCATTGCTGGTTGGATCAGGAGTCTTCCTTTTGACACCAAAGCTAAGGAGTGGCTGGCTGCTGAAGAAAGATACAAGCAAGAGATACAGATGAAAAACATTCTTCCTGCTGTAGCAGATAAGTTTTTCTTGGATGGAGAAGAGAATGAAAAGGGAGCTAGCATTTTGTGCTTCGATGAGATACAGGTAAAGGAAAATTTTCATTCAATTATAATGATTTCCATATTTGTATCCTAAATTATAGTTTCCATATAACTATCCATCAATATTGATTTGGTCACTTGAGGAGAGTATAATGAATTTAATGGATTACTTCCGTATTTAATAAGTATATTTTTTTTGGTGAACACTGGGAATGTCCTTCCCACATAGAGTAGTGTTTCACGATCGATTTGAAAGGATTTCATGCAGTGTGAATTTTATGTAGTTTTCTACTTTCCTGGTCCATTTTTTTGTGTAATCCTTTGTGTCACTTGGTTGGAAATATTTCACTGCATATTTGTATACTTCAATTCCAGATCATACTATCTAGTAAAAACTCTATGAAGGCATTGGAACATCACTGTTGTAAGATTGAGTTACATTTGTTTCTTCATTCCTCCTTGACTCATTGTTAGCATGACTGCTGAGCTACCTTTGTATTACATCACTTCTTTCCTTCATTCTATATCTTGCAGTGTAGAGTTTGACTAAGTTTTGATACTATGTATTTCAGACTGTTGATGTATTTGCTATTGTGGCTTTATCTGGAATTCTAAGCAGATTGCTGAGTAGTGGAACTATAATTGTGGCTACCAGTAATCGAGCACCAAAGGACCTAAATGAGGTGCGTTCTTTACTAGCTAATCTTTCATAGTATGTATTATCACTCTTACCCATTATTCAATAATTACACCAATGACACCCCTGATAATTTTCTGTTTTGGAGGAATTTGATCCCATTCAACCTCAACCAATGGGAATCAAGGCCTTATACTTTTTTTTTTTTTTTGCTTTTGTGCAGGCGGGTATGCAAAAAGAAATCTTCCAAAATCTGGTCTCTAAATTGGAAGAACATTGTGAGAAGGTATTGGTAGGGAGTGAAATTGACTATCGTCGTTTTATTGCACAAAAATCAGAAAACAAGGTGAGAATTTAAGTTATTTGTTATTTTCCAAACCTATCTCACCTATAAAAAGATATTTCCTTCGTAGTAGAGGAGTAGTAATCCAATAACAAAAACCAAACCTATTTCTAATTAGTTAGGATTATGATTAGTATCAATACAGTCTGTTTTAGGTTTTATGAACAAATACATCAATACATTACATTGTAGTACATCTCAGATAGTATCAATTAGTGCTTCATTCACTTTTATCGCTCTTTCTCCATACCTAAAGTCCCATAATTTTAACAAAGGCCACGTGTAAGTCTTTTTGGTTCATCAGATATCACTCCAACATTGTAGCAATGTATGGTCAACCCAACCAACATTAAACCAAATTGGGTTTTAGTAATGTAGATCTTAGTTTTTGTTCAATTACCCTTACAAGACATCATACAAAGACAAAACAGATAATAACGCTACAGCAATCTTGACTTCTAGAATAGTCTACCCCTGAAGTTGAGGGCTCATTAACAGTTTAGTAAACCAAAACAATGCATATAACTTTATCAATTTAACAAATTTCAATTCAATGTAAATATGTGTTTTTTTTGTCAACTACAAATTTTTTGGATGCCTTCCTTACGAACTTTGCTGTTCTAGCCTCAGAAACATAATTATAGGGAGGGAAGTCACCAACTAAGGACACTTCCATGTTTGACATCACAAAGAAAATGTTTCTATGGTATAATGCTGTACTTTGAACAATATTCATTTCATCAAACTTGTACAAACAGTCATCCACCTTTATAGTTTTTCTGTCCACCCGAGGTGTATTCTTATAGTTTACATGTTAACAAGCATCATATTATGCATTTTGAATTTGGAACATACGGGAATTTCAACGGGTATAGATATGTAGGTGCAATATTTCTCGCCTATTGAAACAGAAGCAATCAATGAATTTGAGAAGAAGTGGCATGATGTAACAGGCAGATTAGGAGGAAGAATAATCTCCCACACCATCTCAGTGATGTTTGGAAGGTATCCTGTTTATATTTAATTCTGTCAAACAAGTATGATCAGTAAACAGACAGGATAATTTCTTTCTGTGACAGGACACTTGAGGTTCCTGAAAGCTGTGGTGGAGTTTCACGTTTTACATTTGACTATCTCTGCGGCCGTCCGGTATATTATTTCTTTTAGTTTGGTTGTTGTTTCAAGTATTTTCCAGCTAATATAATTATTAAATCTTATTCTATGATTTACTTTTATTTTTTGCTTAAATGGTGTTGGAAAGTTGCCTTAATTGCGGTTACCCTTAGCTCCACTTAGTTGCGGTATCTTTGGGGCTGCCTTGATTGCAGTCTCAAGGATGGTGGTCCTATATTGACTAGAAATATGGCTTAAATAGAACTTATAAAGCTCCAGAAGTTCTTATCTTACAAATCAACTTTGTGGGTTGAGTTAAAGCCCAATGTCCAAATTCTAAGAAATGGCTAGTTGATATTTTGTATTTCATTAAACTGTATATGGCTCAAGTGGGTAAGAACAACTTCCAAGAGTTGGTTCATATTTCATAGATGTGATGAAACATTTGATGATTGAACTCTTGCCTTCTGTGGTTTATTCTTGCTTTGGTGATCTTGTAGTAACTATTATTGCCTTGGAGTGTAGAGGGAATGGAGGTCTTGGAGGACAGATCTAGATTATGTAATTCCTTATTTTCTAGTAAGACATCAAACCCTTTAGTGTTTTAGAAGTGCTTGAATGAAATCCTCTCAACCCTCATTGATTATATTGAAATATTACAAAATCAAATACCACATATTTAGGGATTTCTTAAACTACAGAAATACATGTATTTGGTATTTACAGCATATTCCTACATTGAATACAGCATTTTCAATATTGATATTTACAGCAAAAAGCAGTAGGGGTTATTCTATAATAGGAAACAAAGTGAGCTTCTAAGTTTGAGTTTAAGATTGTTTAATCTGAAGTAGGAAAGGAGGGACAAGGCCATGTTGAGTAAAAATCTAATTAGAGAAAGGGTACACAAAAGACCACCATGGGTTCATGTTTAGGTGGTTGGTTGTGAAGACCTTAAGGATAGTACAAATGCTATGTTATGTTGTTATTCCCTTCTTTCATCATTATTTGGCTTGCATTTAAATCATCAAGATTTTAAATTTTCTTCTGTGTGATATGCTCTCTAATTATTTTGATTTTCAGCTGGGTGCAGCAGATTATATTGCAGTGGCTGAAAACTTTCACACTGTTTTCATATCTGATATTCCAGTAATGAGTATGCGAATCCGTGACAAGGTATAATTAGCACAAATAAGTTGAGTCCGCCCCAAATGTAGTGATAACGGCCTAATTTTTAATTGGAGAACCTGTGTTAAATCTTGCTTTCTTACCCTGCATCCATACGATTTTATAAGATATTCCTCAAATACGATGCTTAATATTTTTATGCATTAACCTTGGCATTTCTATATATTACACTTGTTTCTGCATATCCCTGTCCTGTTTTAAGCAAAAATATTTTCTACTTCTCAGGCACGGAGATTTATCACCCTTATTGATGAGTTATACAATCATCATTGCTGCCTGTGTTGTTTGGCATCCACATCAATTGATGAATTATTTCAAGGAACTGAGGAGGGAACACTTTTTGACTTGGAAAGGTGATTTTTAGGTGTTTGCAGGAGCTATATCATGCATGAAGAGCTTTGTATTACGTAGTATAATTGTTTTAGACCTGCTCGAGTAGTGGGTGATAATTTATTTACCGTTTTTGTCATTTCACCTTCAATACATTATCAGGTAATTGATTCTGTCGCTTGTTATGCCTTATAGCGGGAAGTAGATGGGTTTCTCAAGCAAGCTTTCCCGTTAACTTCCCAAATCATTTTCCTGTTATTGATCTTTGATTATAATCCAAATTACCAAACACATCGAGATAGTAACACCAACTTTTTTTTTTTATCATCAGATTATAATTTTTGAAAACAATCTAATCCAAACATGTTTATTGATAAAGTTGATAAGTTGCAGACCGTATACCCTGATATTGAAGGTGCACTTCCCATCTATTTCCAAACATGGTATAGAAGGCGGGTAGGCTTAAAAAATCATGAAATTGTCAAATTTCTCATATATTAAATTTTCTTGTGACAATTAGTAATTTTAATTAGTCGCTACTATTTACATATGTTTGGTTCTTGGGGCATGCATTCCTTTTATTGTTAGAGAAGTGCCGAATAATGAATAAAGCAATGCTGACATGAAGCTCATTAGCTTTGCTTTCATAGTAGTGGTCCTAATTAAATGATGCATTGTTAACTGAACCTTCTCACTTCTTTTGCGGTTCCAGTTTCCAGTTTGAAACAGAGACTGAAGGTGGGAAACTTCGCCGCAATGTCTTGGCAGAAGGCAGGGTGGGCTCAGGAGGAGCCCCTTCTGGTATCACATCCATACTATCTGGTCAAGAAGAAATGTTTGCTTTTCACAGAGCTGTAAGTAGCGACTCTTCCCTTTTTTAAGATGCAAGTTGTGACATAATCACAATTTAGCACTATGCTGAAATGGTTCCTCTGGCATTTCTTGTTCCTGACTACAATTGTTGTTGTAGCATTTCTTACATAACGATTTTTTTTATATTTATTTCTTTTACATATTAACATTCGTTCTTCCTTTCTAGGTCTCACGCCTGATTGAAATGCAGACGCCATTATACTTGGATGGAGTCAGTAATTTCCACCCTTATTTTCAGAGACAGCATGAAAAGTTACAACAATTGTGACAGCTTACATTCTGAACCATCAATCTGAAAGTAATTTTTTTTTTAATTCACCTTGTACTAAAATTGTTAACTGATGCCTAATTTACATATACACATTTCTGTGTAGATAATCGGTCAACATAAATAAGCGCCATAGACTAGACGAGTGATCAAGTTTGTGACGGTATTGATTCTTTATTCCTTACAGCTATATCCTCAAAAATGTTGCACTCATGATAAATATGTACTGTTGAAGAAGTTCTAAATGTACTTCTGAAAATGCAATTCTAATTGTAGTTATTTTTCTCAAACTGGCTATTACTTCTTAGTTCTTGGTTGTTTTTTATTTGTGTTGATAACATGGGTATCAATGCACAAGAACTTTCTTGAAAACTCACGTGAAAATATTTGATAGACCAATGCTCCCAGAAACAGGAAGAATCATCAATTACTGCCTACTGAATAACTTCTGTTGAGGCCACACAATATTAAATATTCAAACAAGTGTCAGATGCTTCGTTTTAAACAACCCAACTCCACATTCTATACCATATTCCCATACAAAAAAGTGGTTGCCTCGATTGTGAATGCCATCGGTACAAAGCATTGCTCCTGGATGTTATATCAATAAGTTGAAAATTTGGAAGACATTGGATTAGATAATCGAGAAGATATGGTGAGATGGTTGCAAAGGCATCATTTGTCATGAGCAAGGTGTTGTGACATGGCAACGTTGTACAAAGCACGACCACTTTATCACCCACGAAAGAAACTAGCCAGTAAGAATTGCATTACACGGGCACAAAAATGAGCTGGATCCAAGACATCCAAAAAAAGGATCAAAATCTTCTGTCTCCAATCCCTGTCTCCAATTCCTGTCCCTCCAATCACAAAATGTCATCTCAACCACATCATTGCTTTTAATTTTAATTTTAATTTTTTAAAAGTGAAACCATCATTCTGTTACAGAACCCATCAATCCGTTACAGCAATCACTACAACAACAATACATCACCCGTTTACCAACGCCCACACAATTCCATGCACACTTTCTCTCTCTCCACCTTGGTACTATTCATTTTTTAATATTATTTGTTTTAATCTCTTTCCTTTGGGGGTAAAAAATAAGAAATAAGAAATAAAAAAAGAAAAAATATTATTGAGCAGGGTGAACGCATTTATATAGTTAATAATAATAGAGAAGAGAGAGTGTATTTGTTTTAATCTCCTAACTTTTTCTTCGCGGATTATCTTACGTTTTTTTTTTTACTTTTTCCGTAACCGATTCGCTTATGTTTGTTCGTTTGTTTTTTTTATATTTTGATTCTCCTAACTTTTTACTTAACTGCAATAGTGTATTTGCAAAGTTTGAAAAATACATAAATCCAAAATTTTAAAGTAAAATCATTGAAACATGTTTATAAAAACTCTATATGACCAAATTGCTTTACATATCATTTTGTCCTTTGCTTTGAGAATTTGTAACATCATTTGTTCCATGTTCAATGCTAGATAGTTGTGCCTGTACATACACATATATCCCATTTTACAAACGTAATTTAAATGAAATATTAAACTAACAAAAATAGAAGGCACTATAATTTATCACCTGTAACAACTCTGTCATGCTCATGTTACTACTTGACTCCATGAATGTATTGTTGGTAACATATGTGGGAAACTAAATAATACAATTTTAATAAATCAATACCCCACTTGTTGAATGGCCAAGGAGACAGGATCGAGTGGAGTCGTTCACCTGGGGAGTGGTGCAGAGTTGCATGCCTTTGACATCCATCACATTTTTGAACTGATAGACCATGGACCAAGGGTCTAGTGACTAGAGCTATGGCTAGAAGAATACAGGAAGAGTTGGACCTTGTAAAGACTAGTGGGCTTGTCAAGCCCAAGGTAATCTTCACTTGGAATGCTCTATCATGAAGAGAATGCCTAGTTCTACTTGTATATATTGTATAGTTTTCAAATAGTCTTTTGTATAGGTTATTTTTGCCTTTGTATTTGTGAGGCAGTTTATTTGTTTTTGTTAGTGTTTGTATATTGTTTTCAAGGTAGGTCACTTGGAGAGTTTAACTCCATTTAACCTTCCTAGTTATACATTCATTTTATATTTTTTCAGTAGGGAAAAGGGTGTGACATTTAGCAATGCTTGGGGTGTGATTAGTAATTGGGCCAGAACTGGGCCTAGACAAAATTTTGCATATTGGACTCATTTTGCTCCTAATTTTTCATAGATTTGATTTAGCTAAGTTTCATCATCATATGATGAACCTAACTAAACCAAATCAAAGTTTTTCAAATAAAATCATGGAGCCAAATGCATCCAAGGCCGCCTAGCTAGTTTCTTCCTCCTTGGCCGAAAATTGCTTGTCTCACTTCAAAGGTTGGAAGCTTGCCTTGCAAGCTTCTAAACCTTTGTAAGGTTAGCTTACCTTACCATGGTTCTTAAGTGAACCATGGTCAAGGTTATTGGAATTGAAAAAGGGTGGTGCCTCATTAAAAACCTTCTCAGCAAAAACCCCTTATATTTTTACGGGGAAAAAATACTGAGTTAGGAAAAGAGTGCACCTAATACAAATGGAAAGAAAGGTCTAGCTATAATAGAAGCGTAGATTTGCAGCGTTCCACGTTCTCGGTATCATCCCTCCATCCAAGGTTCTCAGTCGGTAAGCTCCTTTGCCGACGACGTCATTGATTTTATAAGGTCTGACCCATTTAAGCGACAGCTTGTTCCTCATCTGTGTTATCTAAGCACGCTTCAAAACGAGGTCTCCCACAACAAAGTCTCTTGGGACGACCTTCGTGTTGTACTTGAAAGCTGCTCTTCTCTGGGCCGCTACTTGGTTTATCCTTGCACTCTCTCTTGTCTCTGCGATCAAGTCCAGATCAACCCGTCTTCCCTAGTCAGACTCCTCCTCCGAAAAGGCTGTAGTACGTACTGAAGGTTCCGCAATTTCGATCGGGATCATGGCGTCTGTTCCATATACTAAGTTGAAAGGAGTGTCCTGGGTCGACGAATGAACAGTTGTGTGGTATGACCATAGCACCCGGGGAAGCTCCTCCACCCATGAAGCGCCTGAGTCTTGGACGCGCTTCTTCAAACCCGAGAGTATAACCTTGTTTGCCGACTCCGCCTGGCCATTAGATTGAGGGTGCTCAACGGAGGTGAATGTCGTTCGGATACCGATCTGCCTACAGAAATCACGAACTCTTGCGCTTGCAAATTGTGTCCCATTGTCAGAAACTAGTACCTGGGGAACGCCATACCTGCACACCACATTCTTCCATAAAAAAGCTCTAACCTTCTCTGCAGAGATGGTTGCTATAGGCTCTGCCTCAATCCATTTGCTGAAGTAGTCCACGGCCACTATCAAGAATTTTAACTATCTCACAGCAATCGGAAATGGACCGAGAATGTCAATACCCCACTTGTTGAATGGCCAAGGAGACAGGATCGAGTGGAGTCGTTCACCTGGGGAGTGGTGCAGAGTTGCATGCCTTTGACATCCATCACATTTTTGAACTGATAGACCATGGACCAAGGGTCTAGTGACTAGAGCTATGGCTAGAAGAATACAGGAAGAGTTGGACCTTGTAAAGACTAGTGGGCTTGTCAAGCCCAAGGTAATCTTCACTTGGAATGCTCTATCATGAAGAGAATGCCTAGTTCTACTTGTATATATTGTATAGTTTTCAAATAGTCTTTTGTATAGGTTATTTTTGCCTTTGTATTTGTGAGGCAGTTTATTTGTTTTTGTTAGTGTTTGTATATTGTTTTCAAGGAGAATCAAAATATAAAAAAAAAACCAAACATAAGCGAATCGGTTATGGAAAAAGTAAAAAAAAACGTAAGATAATCCGTGAAGAAAAAGTTAGGAGATTAAAACAAATACACACTTTCTCTTCTCTACTATTATTAACTAAGTAAATGCGTTCACCTTGCTCAATAGTATTTTTTCTTTTTTTATTTCTTATTTCTTATTTTTTACCCCCAAAGGAAAGAGATTAAAACAAATAATATTAAAAAATGAATAGTACCAAGGTGGAGAGAGAGAAAGTGTGCATAGAATTGTGTGGGCGTTGGTAAACGGGTGATGTATTGTTGTTGTAGTGGTTGCTGTAACGGATTGATGGGTTCTGTAAAGGAATGATGGTTTCACTTTTTAAAAATTAAAATTAAAATTAAAAGCAATGATGTGGTTGAGATGACATTTTGTGATTGGAGGGACAGGAATTAGAGATAGGGATCGGAGACAAAAGATTTCTCCTAAATATCTTTTAGCAAATTAGCACTTTTTTTTATATTATTATTACAATGGACAAATTGCAACAACTTTTGAAGGGATCAAGTTTGAGTGTGATGTTCCAAAATCACTTAGGATTATTAAAGCCATCACACTTAATACCCTTGAGAAAAAAAATCATGAGAAAATTAGAGCCAAATGAAGAAGTTTGAAGAGTGTCAAAGACTCATTATCAACACCATATATTCGTACGGCATGATAGTATTACATACCAAGTTATGGAACTTCTACAAGATGATGAAGCAGCAACAATGTTTTCCATGTACACCCAATTTGCAACCCTTGGTCCTATTGGGCTATATACTATGTTGGTAAGTCCAACGACAAAATTAGTTTGCTTACGCTCACCAAGATCCATTGACCAAATCATAGTCAACTTTAAACAATCGAACCATTATTTACCCTCAATAACACGAAACTCTATCAAGCAAAATTTGTTTCTCTTTTCTTTATCATGTTTTACTTTTTGTTATGTTTAAATTGTGTTATGCTCGACAATTTATATTATGTTATATTTATTCTGTGTTGTGGCTTCAACTATAGTGAGTGAAGAATTTAAAATACATAACATAAATATATTTTCATGTTTTTTGTCATGGATACTAAAACTTAATCATCTTATAAATAAGGAAAGATGCTTTCATTTTGTTTTGTATAATAGAAATATGTTTCCAAGTAATGATATTTTAAAGAGAGAAAAATCATAAATAAGTAGAATGTGGTTAAGTAAAAAAGGAGGTGGGATTATTGGTGGCCACTATATATTATTATATAATAAAAAATGATCTTGGCCACATGTCAATCTTTTACCAAAAATTTTCTAACTCAATTTCTTTCTTTGATCATAGTCTTTCGGTTCCTTTTGAACACTGCACATATGATGATATAAAATTGTATTTCTTCTGATCTAAAACACTCTTACTAGAAGAGCGAGACAACGTCCGTGCTTCCCAACCATTTAATTGTTAAACATTTAGTATCTCACTTAT